TGTCTGGACAATTAAAATCCCCAGCTAGGATGATGTTTTTCTTTGATGTTGAGACTGAGGCTTTTTCTAGTGATATGGATAGTTCGTCAAGATCCTTTTTGTTTCTTTGAGGCATGTAAAATGATGATATGAGCATGTCTTTATTTTTGTCGGTTTTTATTTTAACCCATTCTATCTCGCAATTTGTTATTAGGTCGGTTTGCTCTTCTGAGACTATGCTTTTTTCCACTAATATAAATACACCTCTGCCGAGTGTCCCCCTATCGTTCCTGTAAACGTTGTAGTTGGGTGGAAATACTTCACTTGATTTGATGGCGTCATGTGAGGGGTTTTTTCCTGGTTTGATGCCTTTGAGCCACGATTCAGTCCCACATATGACGTCTGGTTTGAGGTAGTCAATTGCCATTGTTAGTTCTTGACTTTTATCTTTGATACTACGGCAGTTGACTGTCATGATTCTGATGTTTTGTTTTTTAGGAACCGAGTATGGGTTTCCCTCCACAGATGTTATTGAAGGCTTGGAGTTTCTACATGGTCTACTATGTGATGACTGATCTCGGATTTTTGGGCTGCTAGTCTTAAGTGGGCTAAATATATCAGTTCTGGTGGATTCCATACTGCAATCGATATAAGATAATGGTTCATAGATGTTTGAAAGATTGATCTCGTAACTACGGAAGGTGAAAGTCGTTACGTTTATACTGTCACATTTGCAACATAACCATTGTACGTTTGATCTTTCTAATAGCTCATAGTCATATGTACAAAGTTCAATGCATGATTGATGGTGCCAGATGTTACATCCATCGCAACACACTCCTTTACAATTCCATGTGACCGGATGTTCACATAATCCGCAAGGGTAGATTGATTTTTGTGAAGTTCTAGGTCCTGGGTTCGGTTCTATGTCTCCTGACATAAGAATGACGAGCAGGAAAATTACTTTGCTCTTTCCCGTACTCAGCATTTTTGGGTTCAATGTGGCATGAAGTATTTGCTGGTGATTGCACGTCCAGTTGTTCCAATTTGGTATACCTAACATCAGAACAAAGGTCAATAAAGTCAAAGCATTCATGGTAGGTTTAGCGTGGTAATCCACACTGACCTGAACAGTATAGCACAGTATCCCACACTGACTGATATGAATGCCCCAGCTTCTATCTTTGTGCTAATGTGAGGTGACCTCAATGTGTTGGTTGTTAGTTTTGCCAGCAATCTCTCTTAGTTTGGTCCGAGATCTTTTTCAGCCAAACTTTTGCTACGAGTTTCCCTGGGTGGATGCCGTCTGCTAGTGGATTGAAGTTGTAATATTTCCTTAGTTTTGATGTCCTTTCGCTACCGCTCTTGACTTTAGATGTTTTATAAATGTCTGATGTGAAGGATGGTGAGTGGTTTCCTAGGCTTGCATTGATTGTGCGGATTCTGTTGTTCAGTTTTAGGATTTGTTCCTCAAGTTTGGTATCCTGGTCTTCAAAGGCAGATGGGTTTTTGTGTCCTTTGTTTTGATTCCAACATTTGATGGAGTAAAGTGGGATTTCCAGTATGGTGATTTTAGATCCAGGGTATTTATCTACAATTTTGATGATTTCCTTGTAGTACTTCTCTATTCTGAGTATTTCCTCGTCTGTTTCCGACTTTAGGCTGATGTATTTCTTGTTCTTTGTTGTCAGGTTACAATTGTACCGAGCCATACGTACAACCAAACGTCTCCAAGTTGGATGATTTTCCTTGCTATGTTTGTTCTGAGCCAACGAGTACTATCCTAAATTTTTGCGCCGCTTTTTGACCACCAAATCAATTCTCCATCGGCTTCATTTGTGATTTCTCTTTGCAGCCATTTCCCTTTACTGTCTGAGAGAATAACTGGTTGTTGGAGGCGCTTTCCTGACGTTGAGGGGGTGGGCTTACTCAGAAACTTTTCGAGCTTGCTTTCCGTAATAATATACCGTAATAATAAAATGCCATGGAGATACGAAAAATGATAGCATGTATCAACAAACCTGTAGAGTAGAACCTTCGCGAGCACCATGTGAATGTCGCGGAGATCCCGTTTCTTCTTCATCCAATGATTATATTAATCTCCCAACGAATTTTTTTGTCAGGAAGGTTGCTTTTTAATTTCAAGCCCTATATTTTTGGTTTTGCTTTTTGTTTTGGTCGACTTTGTCAATGTAGCAGGCCTACAGGGCTTCCCTCTCTTACCATGCTGTTTTGTTTATGAAAACTATACGCATGCGTGAATAGCATGGAATGTGGAACCTCGAACACGTTGCGATGTATATATTTATGGGCCATAAATAATTATTAATTTTAATGAAATAATAAGAATTATTCACTTATGAAATTTGTAATTTTCTGAAAGTGTATACATTTATGAGTATGAAAAAAATTCCAAATCCTACAGGAAAATTTTAACAAGTCTGTTTTTGAAGAGATGCGCCGTATTGTCACTTTAAGGACATGAAAAACGGCATTTCAATATTCATTACATTAATTAAATACCTACACTAATGTTTGTCTTTCGAAGTAGATAATGAGTTAAATTTGAAATATTATAGTTTAATTTGAAATAATCTTTGGAATACAATATGTTATATCAGGAATCTTGATGAAGCTGAGGATGTTGCCTCATTGGCAAGGGAGTTTGCCTTTTTCCAATTATATTTGAGTACTTTTAAAAATCTAAATTCTTATAATACTGTAAGTCATTTTAATTCCATGGTCTTAAAATTTTACAATATCTCAAAAAGTATCAATTGCAATGGATTTAATTTCATGCTGCAAGAAATTAATTCAAAATATTGTATAAGCAAGGCCAAGCTTAAAAAATTCTTCGTTTGCAGCTGCTGACCTATAATTTTTAGACTTTGTAGGTAGGTAGGGATTTTTTTTTTTTTGGAAAAAAATTCAGATTTTTGTCAGATAACAAACAATAGAGCTTTTCCATGTTTTCATAGACCTTAACTAAACATGAGTAAGCTACACTCTTGTTATAAACCACTGATTGAGAAAAACAAGTCAAAAATTGAAAATGAAACAGTTTCAATATTATGAAAAATTAAAAAAAAAATTACAAAATGGCTAAGAAAAAAAAGTTTGGGTTGGGTGCATTTTCAGTGGGTCGGTAGGCATCTGCAAACAAACTAATTTTTAGCTCTACTGGTCAGAGACCAGAAGAGCTTATGCGATAGTAATGCATCCGTCGTCCGTCCGTCTGTCTGTCCGTCTGTCTAGCTGTCCGTCTGTCTGTCTGTCTGTAAACAATCTTTCAAAATGCTACTCCTCCTACAGTTTTGGTCTGATTTCAATATAACTTGGCACACAAGTAGACTACACTAAGATACATAATTCTGTATATCGGTTTTTGATTTTGATTAACGGTGTTGCCGTTGTTACTAAAAATAGAAATTTCTGTGAAATTCTTTCAAAATGCTACTTCTCCTACAGTTTTGGTCTGATTTCAATATAACTTGGCACATAAGTAGACTACACTAAGATAAAAAATTCTGTATATCAGTTTTTGATTTTGATGAAGGGTGTTGCCATGGTTACTAAGAATAGAAATTTCTATGAAATTCTTTCAAAATACTACTCCTTCTACATTTTTGGTCTGATTTCAATATAACTTAGCACCCAAGTAGACTACACTAAGATACATAATTCTGTGTATCGATTTTTGATTTCGATGAACGGTGTTGCCGTTGTTGCTAAAAAAATTAATTTCTGTGAAATTCTTTCAAAGTGCTACTCCTTCTACATTTTTGGTCTGATTTCAATATAACTTGGCACACAAGTAGACTACACTAAGATACATAATTCTATATATCGGTTTTTGATTTTGATGAAGGGTGTTGCCGTTGTTACTAAAAATAGAAATTTCTATGAAATTCTTTCAAAATGCTACTTCTCCAACAGTTTTGGTCCGATTTCAATATTACTTGGCACACAAGTAGACTACACTAAAATACATAATTCTGTGTATCGGTTTTTGATTTTGATGAAGGGTGTTGCCGTTGTTACTAAAAATAGAAATTTCTATGAAATTCTTTCAAAATGCTACTCCTCCTACAGTTTTGGTCTGATTTCAATATAACTTGGCATACAAGTAGACTACACTAAGATACATAATTCTGTTTATCAGTTTTTGATTTTGATGAACGGTGTTGCCTTGTTACTAAAAATAGAAATTTCTGTGAAATTCTTTCAAAATGCTACTCCTCGTACAGTTTTGGTCTGATTTCAATATAACTTGGCACACAAGTAGACTACACTAAGATACATAATTCTGTGTATTGGTTTTTGATTTCGATGAACGGTGTTGCCATGGTAACTAAAAATAGAAATTTCTGTGAAATTCTTTCAAAATGCTACTCCTCCTGCAGTTTAAGCCTGATTATAATATAATGTGGCATGCAAGTAGACTATACTAAGAACATAAAGAGACTTAATTAAGGATCATTATTCTTTTTATTGCTGTGGTAAAGTTTCAAGTCCCAACTTCTTAAGAACTTTTCTCTTCCTTTGCTATAAGTACAAACCAGTAGAGCTTCAGTCTCGACAGAGACTTCTGGTTATTTTAGGCCCAATTAAACATTTTAAGAAATGAATAACAGCATTCATGGTTTGATTTCACAGAAAAATGATAAATTGTGAACATAGAGAAATTAAAACCATCATGATTATTTGCCAATCTACACATATGTAAATGCACAATATTTGGCAATGGTACAGTATGGATATTAAAAATATATACATATGTTTTATGTTTTGGGATTTATTATTAATTGCTAAAAAAAAACTTTTACCACATAAATAGTATTAAATACATTGTAATACTAGTCCACACAAGTTTATTTTATAGAGGGATATTGAATAAAAGAATGAGAGCAGCTTGGCAGCACGTGTGTTTCTCTTCATCATTTTCTGACTTCTTTCACCAGTTTAGGAAGACGAATAGCCTTTAGAATTTTGAGATTCCAATTTATTTTTTTTATTTGCAGGATTTTGTTTTGTTTTGGCTGCCAATGGTTTCATAACCAATGATGATACAGATTGTACAAATTTCGTCAATGAAAGCTGTATAATGTCATATGATGTAGCTAATGAAATGTACAAGTGTAAGTATTATTTTTATCGTACTATTGTTAGTACACATTTCATTAAATTAATAACTGACAAATAAGACAGGCTGGATACACTTCTGCACTCACAGGACAGTTTGAATTCTCCAAAAGAGAGATGGAAAACATTTAAAAGATATTTTGTTATCACAGAAACTTTGACATAAAGCTATATGTACATACTGTATTGGTTTGGGACGTGGTTATTCTCCTAGATAGCTTAGTTGGTAGCTAGTGCTTTTGACTGGAGATGCAGGGGTCCAGGGTTTGATTCTTGGTCCAGCCATACATTTACTCCCTGTTACAGACTTGATGCTGTTGACCACCCCTGGAATTGCAGATGAAAGTCCTGCCAGGGGCAGTAAGAACTTGGGTTGTGTCTTTGAGGGCGAAGACCATGTCAGGAGGGAGTAATGTAATGGTTTGGGCCAAGGAAATCGGCCTGGATAGGTCAGGTGGTAGTATACCTGACTGGAGATACATGGGTCCCGGGTTCGACTCCCGGTCTAGCCATACATTTTCTCCCTACTTGTTACAAATGAATATACACTTCACATATATATCCAAAGCCTTTTTTGACTAGTATTACATAAGTACTGTAGATTACTAAATTTTCGCAAGACCTTATTTTCACGAAATAGTCATTGACTCTTAATTAGCCAGACAAAATTTTCACAAATTGTGGTTTTTGCTTTATGTAATCTTAATGAATACTATTATATGCGAGAAATAAATTTTCGCGAGCACATTGTCTCGTGTAATTACATGAAAATAAAGTTCTCACAAATAAAAAATGATTTACAGTACATTGGTTTTTCTGCAGACCCTGGCTGTTTGAAGATCAATCCAATCAAAGGCTGCTATACAAGTGACCCTGAATGTCTTAGTGTTCCTGATGTAGTTGACAGGTAAATTTTCTTACTGTGTCACTTAATTCTGGTCATTTAGATATATATATTCAGCAAAAAGATTATGGTTTCCAAATGTTTATGTATGAATTAACATGATTAAGACAGAGCCATAATATGCCCAGTACAGATGTTTACGGATGTTTTCTAAGATACATGTACATGTATTTTTAAAATTAGTGCTATTTCACTGAATATAATTAAAATTTTGACTTTTTAATATTAAAATTCAGACTGAAATTGTTAGCTGAATTAATATAATACATGTATGTAACAATCATAAAGACTTCATTCTAGTATTATAGTTGTATGAAATATTTCAGTACTAGTGCTTCAGAAACAACAACTATAGAAGTACCAAGAAGTAGTCAGGTTACGAACTACAGTATTCAGGAACTTCCAGCTGAAGAAGAGAATGGAGATACCACAACTATAATAGTCATAGCAGTGATCATACCGCTTGTGGTTATTATTGGAATCCTTGTTGTAGGGATCATTTACAAAAGAAAGAAGTGTTGCTTTAAAAGTGAGTACATTTGCATGCAGAACTTAGAAAAATAGCTTTTGTAATTACATTTATTACGTTAAAATAAGACAAGTTAAATATTATTGTTAAATACTATTATACAGGCCCTGCTCTACATGAGAGCAACTCCCAAAGCGCAGTGGTAGTGAGAAATATAAAATATGTCAAGAAATGTTTTTTTTTTCAAATTTAATTTGTAACTGAAATTTTTAAATTATTTTTTGTAGAAGGCTACTCCTTTGAAGAGATTCCACTCTTAGGTAAAACTTTCTACTTTCTTGAAATATAGACAAAAATTCCATATTTCAAGCATATATCATTCATGATTCAGAGTCAGGATTATAAATCCATATATATATTTAGCTCACCTTTGCTTAAGGGATTTTTTAAAATAAAAAAAATGCCAGGTATCCATTTGTCTGTCTGTCAAACGGAAATTTGTTGTAAGTAAACTTTTCATATGTTTTATATCTTCCCCAGTACTACTGCAGGGTTCGACACTAACGGTAGCCCGGTGGCCCGGGAAAACTGAATATTGAGGTTGGGCTACTAAATATACCTTTAAACTTGCCCAGCAGGGCTACTAAGAATTTTACCAAATACTCACTCAGAGCAACAAAAATAATTATCAATTACACACAATGTATCTAATAGTTATTTAATCTATTTTCAAACATGTTTTATCATCAATGATCGTAATAATTATTTTTTTTGTCAAAATGTAAACTTTAAAGGTGATTTGAAATACCCTAAATGATTATAAATGTGGACTTTTTCGAATAGAAAAATATCATAAGTACAATTATAGAGTGACATATAATTTTTACCCAAAATTCAGCCAGAATGCAGGATTTGGCATCTCTATTTTCAAAATTTCCCGGGGGAGCCCCCCGTACCCCCACCACCAGGAGGGAGAAGCCCCCTCCCGCACCTACCCCCCTCGTCACTTCGGCTTGGACAACAAATACATGAACAGGACTAGTAGAAATTAGAAATGGCTAGCCCTGCTGACAACTATGGTTTTAAATTTAGTGTCGACACCTGTACTGGGTTAATTAATTTCACCTAAGCTTACCACAAAGCATCTTTGGGTGAAGGAGATTTACGTTTTGTCATAAGAAGTGCCACACCCTCTTTCAAAGAGAAATAATAAAGGATTTGTGAAAGACCTATTATAATTTGTCTGCTTTAAAAGAACCACAGTACTAGAAAAGATGAAATTAAGAGAAAAATTTTAAGAACACACTGTAGATCCAAAGTTACGCATAACATGAACCCTATAGGTATCTGTGGGACACATCTGGGAGGAGGGGGGGGGGTTGAAAAGGTAAATTTTGGATGTTTTTAAAAACTTTTTTTTCAAAAAAGTCAAGTTTTGAATTATTTAAAAATATTTTTTCTTTCCTCCCTTCATAATTAAAAGCAGATAAACTGTATACATGGATCTGATGATCAAGGGTGTCTTCCAAAATTATGAAATTCCTGCATGGCCCCAGGGTGAGGGGTTCTGAGTAGGGGGATGGGTTTTTAAAAAGGTAAATTTCGAATGCCTTTAATAACTTTTTTAGAAAAAGTTAAGTCATGAATTCTTTTTTCTTTCCTCCCTTTATATAAAAGCAGATAAACTAAATACATGTACATGGATTTGATGATCAAGGGTGCCTCTTCCAAAATTATGAAATTCCTGCATGGCCCCAGGGTGAGGGGTTCTGAGTAGGGGTGGGTGGGTGTTCTTTTGATCATATAGTGAAAGTACATTATTTCTCAAATTGAGAATCTCCTCTGCCCATCATTATTAAGCAGACTGTGATAGAAATTATATGGTTATGATGTCAGAGCAAGGGTGCCTCTTCAAAAATTGTGAATATCTTGGCCCCCTGGTGATAGACTCTAGTAAATGTATTAAGTAAGGGCAATATTAAATTTACATTGAAAATAGACTATTTTTCTGAAAATCCTCTTTCTCCCTGGACATCCAGGAGGAAATCGTGGATTGAAAAAAAAGAATCAGATATTTGTCTTAAGATCTTTCCAACCTCACAATTTTAATGGATCAATACACAAAAACTGCATTTTCATATAGTATAGTTTCAATTTACCAAGGTTTGCAAAAAAGGTACAGATTGCCATATTATTTAGGATGGGAGACATATATGAACTGAAGTATGTGTCAACATAAAAAATCGTACATTCTTTTGTAAACAATACAGTATTATAAAATTCATGTAAAAACTGGTTCAAATCCATATTTCTGATGCTGAAAGTTCAGCAATACTTGCTACTTGTACTTACTTTTGAATTTTAAATATCAGGGAAACTATTTTACATTAGAAGTACAATAAAGAATGAAGATAGTTAAGAAGGAGTTATTACCATTTTCAACATTTTTTTTAAAAGATTGAATAATTAATTAAATAAAGAAAATTTGAAAGAATCATAATGAGAAATTTCATAGTGTTAAAACTGTTTCAGAAAGGAATACAATTGGAAATGTAGAGATCCTTGATTCTGGACATAGCATAAAGTTTAGTGTTCAAAGTGCCAAAACTTCCTTGACCAATGGACTTCATTCCATTGAATGGAAGAAAGATGGGACATTCCTTCAAGTGGACAATCTTAAGTATTCTGGGGGAGATCAGAGAGAGCCGAGCTTAATTATACAAAATGTCTCTTTAGAAGATGCTGGAAATTATCAATGTGAAATAACACTTGATGATGGAACAGTTTACAGTGAAGCATTTTTAATAAGTAAGAGTGATATTTTATCTAATATTTACAAAGAATTGCAGGTACATTCTTTTATGGACAAATATTGCTATATTTGCTTTAACATGATAATAAAAATCAAAGTTTTTGATTATCATTTCTCATATATGGTTTCATTAATTTTCATTTTCTAGCAAACAATATATAAAATAAACAAAAAGTGCAATTTTATTGTCACTTATAAGTAAAATTTTCCCCTATTCTATCATTCATATTATTACCCTTAGCTCATTAATACCCTAATTCTGTGGTCTGGCAACTGTAAGCACTAAGCCCCAAAATTATACACCCTCGCATTTGAGTATAAGTTTCCTTGCTATTATATGTATACTACTTTGGCTGGAAAGGGAGTGTACTATTTTTATTTTTAGCTCAGTGCAGCTCATAGTATACCTCTTGTTTCTTTAAATTAAAATGTCAAAGAGATAGCAAAAATAAGGGGATTTATTTGAGAACAATTTTTTTATTTGTCAAGAAGAGAAAGCATTTTAGCTATTTAAATTCAAAATTCAAAAACTATTTCAGATTGTCAGAAAAAACTTGAAGACTAGAATTTACAATAGAATTATGATGATAGTAAAAGTGATTTTTTTTCAGGCACTGGTGAGGTAGAGATACTTAATTCTGAATCACTGAAGCTATGCATAACTGGAACTGTTTTGGCAAATGGGCCTCACTCTGTTGAGTGGAAGAAAGATGGTACTAGCCTTCAAATGCACAATTCGAAATATCTTGGAGGAGATGAGAGCAAACCTAGTCTGGATATACAAACAGTCTACAAAGAAGATGCTGGAATTTACCAGTGCTTGATAACAAGCCATGATAAGACATGGAACATACATTTATTTTTTATTGGTAAATGTTTATAGACTTGGAAAGATGTATATATTTTTCCATCTGATGTAAAAGGAATTAGTTTCAATCATCATTCAGATGAATATTGATTTAAAGAAATACAGAAAAGGAAACAAAATGATAACGTAACAGCATTTTTCATTTAGATGTTTACTATCTAATTTATTTTGATATATTTTGCACAGATCTTCCAGCAGTTGAATTTATTGGAACTGAAGTCAGAGAAAGCAGTTTGGTTCTAAAATGTGAGGTAGCTTATTCAAGTGTCAGGTCATCTATACTTTGGAAAAGAGATAACCAAATTATTACTGAGGATGAAAAATTCTCTGGTGTGGACACTGCCTGTTTAATCATCAAAGATTTCAACATCACAGACTCAGGGTTGTACCAGTGTACCCTCTCAAATGATCTAGGCTGGTCTGCAGATTGTCAGTATCAATTTGGTAAGAGTGATAAGTAAAGACTTTTTATTATCTGTCCAAAAGACTCCAGTTTTACCCTTCCAACATGTCATATATATATGCCTGAAAAAAGCATGTAAAATATAACAATTTAAAAAGATTCCAGTTTAACCTTCCTGTGCGTATATATTTCTGAAAAAATCAAAACAAAATAATTTATGTTTAAGAATATATTTAAGTTACCTTAAAAATCAGTTATCACAAAAGCAGATTCAGAAAATCAATTAATATGGTAAATGATACACACTGTTCATTCAGAAAATCCACACTTTGCCATGATAAGCAAGGATATGCAATGGAGTAGATTGGCAGTATTCACACTTTCACTTTTTTTTGTTTAAAAAATAAATTGGCCACAGGTGGACTGCACAGAACTCTCTTTATCATATTTTAAATTTAGATAATAGGTGTCATGGTAATGAAAAGTAGACATTTCAGATTTCTGTGAAAGTCTTTCGAGTCCCCCTACAGTTTTGGTCTTATTTTAAAATACTAGTAACGTAGCATGCCAATAGACTACACTAAGATACATAATTATCTTAAGTTTATTGTTTTATTTTAAATGATGTTGCCGTCGCTTGCTTGGTGCAGTGGTTAGAGTGTCTGCTCTAGAGTCGCCAAGTAAGGAGACAATTCTTGCGTCGTGGATTCAAATCCCACAATATACAATCAATCAATAAATGATGTTGCCTTGGTAGCTAAAACTGAAATTTCTGTATAAATGTTAAATTCTTTTAGTATGCTACTGCTCCTTCAGTTTTAGTCTGTACAGCATTCTTTCCATAAAAAGAGAGAAAATCAGAGATCATTATTCTATTTATTTCAGGTCAAACTGCTAATTTTCTCTTCTTTTGTTATAATTAAATATCAATAGAACTTCAGTCTTGACAGAGACTTCTTGTTTATGGTACTCCAATCCTCAGGTTTTGAAAATCAAGCATTAATTGACTAATTGAAAATACTCACAAAAAATGTCTCTGAATTTTCAAAGTAATGTGTTTTTACCCATAATAATTCTTCAAACCTCATCTTTCAAGTCAATCATATTATATAGAGAAAGTTAGTAAATCTCAAATATATTTTCAGGAATTGCAAATAAAAACACCTGCTATACATTTTCCAATTCAAATTTGATCAATTAACATATTTTAAAAATAAAAATCCTAGGTATCCAGGGTTTTGAAGAAATTCCACAATTTTCATACATATAATGTACTTTAATTTCTTTTATTTACTCCGATCATTTTACAAAACAAAGGTATAAAGATTCTCCTGTCATTGCAAAGCTCCATAAATCACTTCTAATTTCATATCATGTTAATAAACATTGGTATCTATGGTTAGATTAAAATGAACATCAATTTCTTGATATATGTAATTTTAAAATGCTTTTACGGGGTAAAAATTTCGACTTTTAATTAGACCTTTCTGAGAACTTCAAAGAACCTTGAAACACATTGAGAGATATATGATGAAAATTGTTGCACGAAAAGATTTAATTTTCAAGCTTCGTTTTGAGACTTTTTGAATTAAATTATAAAATAAAGAGTTGTCCTTCCTGGCTGAGGATCGGCGTCCGTTAAAGATTGAATTTCATTTCCCATAATTTTACATTGCATCAATCCAAGTATGCTGAGAGTAAGTGTCACTGTGTGTAGTTTATTTTATTTATTCTAAAAAATCTTAATCTTTTAAATTCACACTCTTGCATTCATAACATTAAATTAGTTTCTGAGATAAATTCATTATCTGTATAATAAATCATCAAAAATAATTGACTGTTAATTGATTATTTTTTTCTTTTTGAACAGAAACAGCAAAGATTTGCCTTACTGAAGCATCACCATTGTTACCATTTATATGCAAAAAATACAAAAATATAAAACTCAAAGCAAGATTTGAAAGAAAAAATGGATATATCCCATTGGAGCATCTTACTGTTCAGTGGCAGAAAGTACAGAGGGAAGGTGAAAATAATTTAGTTTCTGCTATACATATTGACAATGCCAAGTATACCCTTCAGTATTCACAAGTAGATGAAAATGGAAAAATGTGTGAGCTGGTCATTCACCAAGCAACTATGGCAGATTCTGGAGTGTACTGCTGTGTATTATTGGATGGTGCAAATGGACAACTAGAGAGTGAAAAATTGGAAGTGTTTGTAGTGGAAGGTTAGTGAAAATAATTACAGTGGACATTCAGATATCCGGATGCTTCAGTATCTGGACGATTTTTCATTGTAACAGAATTTTTTAGCGTTATATTGTCTTGCTTAACTGGTAATTCAGGTATCCGGACGCTTCACATATCTGGTCTAATTGACTAGAAACCAAAATGTTCGGATAAATGAGGCTCCACTGTAATTTGAAATAAAAATTAAAACGAGTAGTATTACTGTGCCAGCCATTAATTTAAGTGTAACTGTGTTCTTCATGTCAATTCCTAGCTCTTTATCCACCACACTTTGCATTTTTCATATATATTTAAGAATTTTATTCAAACGTGATCATATGATAGCTGATATCCATATTCCATATAGCGTTTTTTTTTACTTACTCTTAACCCCTTACATGGCATATATGCATGTCTACGCATCTGATTTGAAAAACGAGTATAGAGTGAAAAAACATTCATAACTTTGTTAATACTGCAAATATCAGAATCTAGCACTGTTGGAAAGAGAAAATAATTACAAAAAAGAATATACAGAATTTTTTTCATTAATTGTACCAGTTTTTTGCTAACTTGAGTTAAACTTTACGCACTATTTGAGCGATTTTGCCATTATCGAAATCAATGCAGGGGTAACACATTGTTTGTAAAAATGCTAAATTCAGGTGATACCTCCAAACCCCACCCCATCCTCCAAAATACTTAAAATTGCTTTAAAAAATGTACAACATGCTCATAATTTTCAACACAACAATGAAATATTTTTACTATATTTAACGAATCAAAAAAAAAAAAAAAACTAGAATGAAACTCAGTCTTGAATAAATGGGAATTCCACCATGATTAATGATTATGTTGTATTTCGTTGCCATGGCAACTTAAATTATATTTTTATACTCATTTTCAGAAACTACACAATACCTGATTTCAGAATATATAAACATTAGTATATAGAAAAATTAAACATTAAAAAAAATGCATCGAAATCTATATATCAACATGTCCAGAAATGCTTAAATCTTTGCCATGGAAGGGGTTAAAGGGAACGTATGGTCAGAATTTGAATTTCTATATATAAAACTGTACCTCTCATATAAAAAGAAGAGCTGCATCTTATAGCACTGCACTGATGATAATAGCAGTTAAATTTGATTTTGATAGCTTAATTGGAGCAGCATGGGGGAAACCTTATCATGGCCGCTGCTGACGTAGTGTAGACAGATTAAATGCCAGATGGCTAGAATCGATGCGTTTATGACTGCAGAGAAATAAAATTCCTTTCATCAAAAATAAGCTAATTCAAGCAATTGTTTATTTATAGGGGAAAGATTAACATCCTTCTTCGACACATTTGAACTTTTAAAAAAGTTGGAATTAAAATCAAGTAAAATATACATCCTTTGCAGCTAAGTTTTGATTAAAGTGTAATGCCCAGTTTACTGCTTTTTATTATCGATTCTTTCTTTTATTTCCATGAATTCTAAAACACTAGAATCATTAGAATGTGAAAATATATTTCCTTTATTACATTCAGACTCAAAATGAAATCCTAAACACTAAATTGGCACATTTTCCCGACTTGATTCCAACATGATAATGTTTCCTCTTAGAACCAATGTGTCCCAAATACGTCATAAAAGTGAGGATTACTGGGAAATATTTAGCAAGCGAGATAACTTTATCTCCCAACATGGCAGCCTCCAGCAGTCAGTTCACATATAACTTTGGTGTCTTATTACTTTATAATTAAGTAAAAACAAATGGCGATTTCAGGTAAAATTCATTAATGATCATTTAAAGAATGAAATATCAAAAAATTTCCCTCCATAAGTGCCGAAAATTTCTAGCTTAATCATTTCCTTTAATTTATCTCTTTGAATTACCTAAAATGTACCTTGTGCAATTCTTTCACAGATAATTAAAACTAGTGAGAGCAATATTCTATATATTATATCAGAAGATAGAGCAAATGAACTTGATAGTTTAAGGGATAAAACTTCATTCAACTGTTAGATAGATGTGCCATGGGCTCCAACATTACGTACATGTTTTGTTATAAAAGGCAACGACTGTACTAAAGGCAGCCGAAATATTAATTTTATATGAAAGAAGTTTTAAATACTTCTTTCAACATTTTCCTGTCAACTCTTATTAGGGCCCCGCAAGGATTTGCGGGTGCCCTATAGTAATCACTCTGTCCGTCCGTCTGTCTGTCTGTCTGTCCGTCTGTCACTCTTCCGTCCACAAATTTTCTGTTTTTTTCTAATAACTTTTTTTATGGTTGCCCAATCAAGTTCAAATTTGGTATGGTAGTTCAGTAGGCAGAAATACATATTTTGATGCTAAGTTTGGTTCTCTATGTCTTCTGGTTTGGAGCTGGGTTGGTGGGGTAGATTCCTTAACTATGCATAAGAATGAACGGGCAACTTTTTTTATGGTTGCCCAATCAAGTACAAATTTGGTACAGTAGTTCAGTAGGCAGAAATACATATTTTAATGCTAAGTTTGGTTCTCTATGTCCCATGGTTTGGAGCTGGGGTGGTGGGGTAGATTCCTTAACTTTATATAAGAATGCATTGGCAAAGAGAGATAACTGCTGAAGATGTTCCTTTGTAAACTGAAGGAGTCCCTTGGGATTAATTAGCTTTCCTCCTGAAGAAAATCCAGAGCATTATCTTTATCTGTCACATTGAGATTAATTACCACCTCTGTCTGCAAATGAAGTTTGTTTTGAAGTTAAATCAATTTGGAATGCTATGAACACTCTGAAATGTGGATTTAAATATAAATTTTTATTATTTATTTTTGTTCGATAGAACTTATGATTGCATTGAATTCTAAAAAAAAGAAATAGATTAAGGAAGATTTTTTGATTGACTTTTTTCACTTTTTTCACTTTTTTTGAATATATTAATTCAAGAATATAATTAATTTTTAATGTAGTTGTATAAAAACTAGGGATGGCAATCGATTGCAGAATTGCTAATCGGTTAATCGCAAAACGTTCCGACCGATTAACCGGTTAGTCGTATCAAAATAAACATTTTGACATTTTCTTTTCATATACATTAAATGCTAAAAAGACGTTAGAAGTTACATTCTATACATACTTTACATTTTATTTCAATTTCATCAGACAAGAAAAATTAAGAAAACCGGCAATCTTGCTTGAGAAATCAGACAGGGATAATTTTCCAACGCAGATGTTAAAGAAGTTACTAGTTATTCTGTGTTGTCACCATAATAGAATTATTCTATGTCTGAACTCTCACTTTTAATATTTACAATCTATAACGTTCTTTACAACGTTCTTTATTATAACATAATTTAATAGGGAGCGGCAAAATATACTTTAGACATACTATAATTAAAAGTGCTGTTTTTAATATCATTAAAAAAACATGGGACTATCTGGGTAACGGCATGATGTTATAAAAAACAGTAATCAGCACTTTACGAATTGACCAATTACTCTGCGATCTCGATCTGGAGACCTATAATTACCTCCAAATATTCTTAATTATGAGATGTGTAAGAACACTGAACAAAAATCTATGCAGCGCTTTCCTTTTTTTTTTTTTAAAAAGAAAGGATTTTAAGGAAACTGAGCCAAAATTTACATATATTCTATTTTTTCCGACTAACCGATTACGGATTTTGTAACCGATTAGCATCGTTCCGACCGATTAATTGCTTAACCGGTTTTAAATTGCCATCCCTAATAAAAACCCCATTCTATCATTAATACTGAAAAAGTTCTTATTGTAAATTTAGAAGAAAATGATGAGAGAGGTACAATTAATCCCTTGGGATTATATTATCTAGCCTGCTGCAGAAAATTTAGTAGGCTTTTTTTTATAGTCTTTAAGATTAATGAAAACCTTTGTCTGCAACTGCTGTTTGTTTGAAGCCTTCATGATATTTGCATTCATTGAAGGCTGGCATTTTATATAACACAAGCTTCATAATTGTTTAAATATACATTCAATGTTAAGTTGTTCTTTACTGCCTAATGTAAATACAAGGATATTATTTTCAGGTTTTTGAATATTCAGGAATTATCTTGAAATTTTAAGAATACAGTTGGTGTTGCTTATTCTTCATACATTTATTAATCATTCTGTAAGCTGCACCCTTTTAATTCTACCCCATGGCGGGGCCCTTGCTGACTGGTCAGTTTTCTAGTTTTGTTTAGCGCTTAATAACATTTTCTATGATTTTTGATTACTTTCTTGATTTTGCTGTAGATACAAGTGCGGTGTGGATGAAAGCTTGAAATGCGTGTTCTTTAGATAATGTATCTAGTATTTAACGAGGCCGAGTCTAATTGGAGTGCCGAAGACTTTGCACAGCTTTTAAATTTCATGCAGTCATTTGTGCGGCAGTATACCTTTGCCAAATATTTTGATTTTAATACAAAATTAATATCTGTAACCCCTACTGGTCTGAAAATGTGATTTTACGACAAGAATTGGGGAAAAAACACTGAAATGGCTCTAACGACGCCACCATTTTCGGATTTTTATAAGCAATACATGACGCTGAAGAATGATGCATGACTCGCTTGTATGTTCAAGACGTCCATGGATTATTATACTAAAACTGATGACAGAACCTCTAAAGAAACATACTAGCAATTTAAACATTGCTAATTTTTTTACCGAAAAAATCGTATGTGCCGATAATTCATCTGCACTCTGTGCACTGATATGTAGTTATACCGTTATGTGGCAATTTTAAAGGTACTGGGCTTGAAAAAATAAACTTAGTAATTAATTCCTAGACCAAAGTAGATGTGAATTTTTCTGAAATTTCACAATTTAATGACTTTTAACAATAACTTTCATCTACTTAAATGAAAAAGAAATCTCTAGGGCAGAAATACAAAAAAAAATATGGGAAAAATGTGATAAATTGGCACTTTTCCAACAAATTCCCATAGGGTCCAATTGTAAAATTTGACAACTTTTGAGATGGTCCCCTAAGAAATCGGGGTAGTAAACATTCGAGATTTTAATCTTCAAACAATAAATATAACAGTAAAAATTAAATGTCAAAAGATTATCAGAATCCCTTGGACAGATATAATTAGACTCGGCCTCGTTAAATATTTTAACGCTTTGAACCATACACAAGAAACGTATCAATATTATTTACGTGATTTGATGTAAATATTCCCACTCTTTTAGATTTTTACAACACAGAAGAGTGGAAAAATGATGACTGCATTTATGAGGAACCTGAAGAGGGATTTTGTACAAGAATAATACAATTGTTACACAAAACTAATGCTGTTACCCTTGTTGGTCCACCAGGAGTTGGGAAAACATTCACAGCGCGGCACATTGCATTAAAAATGAAGGAAGTGGAAAATGGATGGAATATATGCCAGATTTCCAATATGGAGGAATTGTTGATTGAGGACAAGTTGCCAAACTCTGTGCAAAGATTAATTATCTTTGATCATCCATTTGGAAAAACTAGTGTAAATATTTTGAATCTTGTGTACTTTCTTCTGCACAAAAACAATTTTTGCCAATTGGAAGGGAAAACAAAGGTGATCATGACTTGCAGATCTAATATATTTGAAGAAATTATCGCGTTTCCCATTGATGTTTTGAAGAATGTAATTTACATGACCAAAACTTACCTTGGAAAATCACCAGGATTACTAAAAGAAATTAATGAGGCAGTAAACGTTCAGTCTGGTCTAACACAGAATGATGATGACGGTGAGAATGAATACTTACCGAGACTTTGTAATCATATTGGGGCCTACTTCAGTGAAAGTCAAAATCATGTGTATGATTTCTACACTTTGATTTTGTTAGCACGGCAAGAAAATTTAATTTTGAAAAAGTCTTTACTAAATGCACAAAAAAATATATCTCAAGTCCTTGAAATCAATATTCCAGAAAAAACTTTTAGTGAAGGAATAAAATCAGCAATTAAAAAATCTAAATACTTGAGACGCAAAAGAATTGGAGATAATACTGTGTGTTTTTGCGAACAAGAGTGCATTTTAGATGCATTCATTTGCCATTTGTTGAAAAAGGATCCACAATTATTTCTTAAATGTGCTGGCAATAAGGTAATCTGTAGTCATGTCTGTCCATTTAGTGCCAGTGATGGTGAATGTTGGAGACTACCTGACACAGAACAATTTCAAACGCTCAGCAAACGTTTGCATGAATATTTAACATCAGATGACATGTGTTCCATGTCAAACGTTATCAAGGTGCCTTATTGGAAGAATGATGAGTTTATCAATGTTTTCATAGATGTACTTTCACAGGATAGAATGACAGACATTTTGTATTGCAGTAAAAGGTACCCAATATTTAATGGCAGACGTAATTCAGTTGTAAATGACAATTCCAACAAAACGAATGAGCAGTGTGCTTATATTTGGAATGAAACAGAATTGCTACGTTTTTGAACTTCTGTTTACTGGACAATCAGACCCATGTTCCAATGGTTTTACAGTACTTTCAACACATTTTGTATACTGGACTATTTCTTATGGCAGATATGAAGCTATTGACCAAATACTGAGACTTGCTATAAAACAAAACAGCAACCAAGCAGACGTTAATCGTTGCATTTTGCTTGCTTGCTTCAGAAGTGTTGACATTTTAAAAATAGTCCTAGAACATCTTAAAACAGAAGACCTGACAAATGTACGCTTCTCAAAATCAAAGGCATTGTTCTTCAATGAGCAAGCTACTATTTTACCATTGCATGTTGCCATTGCTAAGGAAAATTTAGACTTGGTCAATGTTTTAGTAGAAAAAAAAGTCCTTGTAAATGAATGTGACCATAAGAATAGATCTGCTCTGCTGGTAGCTATGGAAAAAAATTATACCGATATCGCTGAAACGTTACTGAAAATTGAGGGATTGGATGTCAATACCCATGACATTAGAAACAGACACCCTTTACATTTGGCCACAATGAAAGGTGACGAAAACTTTGTCAAAATACTTTTAGATAAGAAAGCAAAGGTTGATTGTGTTGATGAGAACGACGTTACTCCATTGAATACGGCCTCTACTTTTGGATTCAAAGATATAACAGAAATGCTTTTAAAAGGAGGTGCAAAATTGAATAAATTTGATAACAACGAAAAATCTCCTTTGATTAATGCTTTAGAAAATGGACATATTGATGTTATTGGACTGTTGATGCAAAAATTAAACCAAAAATCCATGGATTTAAACCACAGTGATGTTGATGGAAGAACTCCTCTTTTTGTAGCTGTGGACAAATGTTACTTTGACACAACAAAAAGACTTGTGAAACTAGGAGCAGATGTAAATGTGTTTGATAGTCAGGAGAGAACACCCTTGTATTTGGCAGCAGAACACAACTCACTTGAACTTGTAAAATATTTAATCGAAAAAGGAAGCCAGTCCTTGGTAAACAAAGGAGATGAAAACCATAAAACACCTTTACACGTGGCTATAGAAAAGAATAACTTGGAAATGGTTGATCACCTGGTGAAATATGGAGCAGATGTGAATTCTTGTGATGATGACAACAAGACACCATTACATGTGGCTATTGAGAATTTCCAAAACAGTGAAATATTAGAATATTTACTGAGAAGGGGTGCTAGAGTCGACATACCTGGAAATCAACGAATTCAATCTCCTTTATTTTTAGCAATAACAATGAAAAACACTGAAGCCTTTGATGTTTTAGCAAGAAGCAAAGCTGATTTGAACAAGATGGATGACAGAAGGAGAAGTTTATTGTGCTATGCTGTAGAAAGTAACGAGGAAAGGATAGTCAGAATCTTACTTCACAAGAAAGTAGAGGTCAACACAGCTGACGAACCTAACAAAATGACACCTTTGCATTATGCAGCTGATAAGAATCTCTACGATATTGTGAAACTTCTAGTCAAAGAGCATGCTAATATAAATGCAACTGATAGTTGTGGACGAACCCCTCTTCACATTGCATCGAGAAATGGAAATTTTGAAATAGTTGAACATTTGGTTCGAAATGGAGCAGATGTTAATAAAGCGGACTTTGCAGGTGATGGTCCCTGGGAATATGCCTTTGAAAAGCATAGAAAAGAGATTATGATGTATCTTGCAAAAAGGGGAGCCCATCTAAGAACTGAAAAAACTTCACTTATCTACACTAGACAAAATTCCTAACGCACAAGAAAAGCTCATTTGTTTATTGTGTTATCATAAATATATCTAACATTGTAAATATCTTACAGTCAGAAATCGAATGACATTAAAGGATTTTTTTTATTCAAGTCGCATATTTGTGTACCCAGTCTGCCACACCTCCATGTTTTTGATCAATTTAGAGTCACGGAGTAAGGAGTTGATCCTTACGTTGAAGGTTCGAATCTCGATGTGGGATGTGGAGACCGTTCCTTTGGATGAGACAGTATAAACCAAGGTCAGGTCCCATGTCATTGTAGGTGCGGGAGAGTGGGGGGGGTTGGAGGAGGGGGAATGATCCCTCCTTGCTCAATGGCCCTAAATGCCGTATATAAGACATACATGTAATCTGCAGCTCTTCACCGGCAAGTGATGGCATCTCCGTATAAGTGAAAAATTCTCGAGAGGGACGTAAAACAGCATACAATCAATCAATGAGAACACAGTGGTCACTCATTTAAAAAAAAGCTTCACGTGGGTAAATCTATTTTTCAAATAATATAAGAGAGAACAAAGCTGTTTATACACTTAACATAACTTCTATATGCAGCAATATACCTTCATCACCTGCATACGTTGTTTATATTTCTCAGTCGATTCAATACGCAAGAGCATGCATTATGCATGAACAATTTCTTAAAACGAGGTAAATTATTGACAAGCAAGTTGATGAAACAAGAATATCAGCAGTTTCGTTTAAAGTCATCATTTCGTAAGTTCTATGGTCGATACAATGACCTTGTCAGCAAAAACAATTTTTCATTGAGTCAAATGCTGACTGACGTTTTTCATACTTATTGTTAGTCCATTATTTATACACTGAATTGACGACGGATTTTTCCCGTTATTTTCTGGTCATGACAAGGAGAACACGGCGGGTGTGACCGGTCTGCAGGGGATGCTCACTCCTCCACGGCACCTGATCCCACCTCTGATGTATCAGAGGTCCGTGTTTGCTCTGCTCCTGTTTTGTATTGTTTTATGGACTTTGATATTGAATACTGGTCGTTATCTCCATATCCTTCTTCTAAGTGTTCTTTCTAATCATTGTATTTATTTTTAAAATCTACATGACAGAATCGTCTGATATTTTCAAATTATTATAACCAATGAAGCTTCTCACCAACTATAAAGAAAATTAATTATCACCAATGAAAACCAATGTCTATGGCACGCTGATTGGTTCAAAAGTATTTTCTGCACAACGATCAAGATTTTATACACGAGCTATATGAAAAGTATACGCGAGTAAAATAAATATGCACGTACCCAGATAGCATGACTATGTTGGGCCAACGTTGGTAAATGGTTGTATTGTTGGCTGGTGGTTGGCGTTGGGCATTTAACGTTGGTCCAACGTTGGGCCAATGCCAGTAGGGTGCTTTTGTATTTTGATCACATGTAAGTTGGAAAGACAATGTTGGCCCAACAATGGCATTATGTAATAAATGTGAGCTTTCCTGTATTTTTTAACGTTGGGAATAGATGCATTGAACCAACGTTGGCCCAACGTTTTAAATTTGCCCTTATCCATAGTGACTAAGATCATTGGGTATACAACCATTGTCCAACGACGACCCTTCATGTGCAGAATATGCTATAATTAAGTTTTCGGCATGTTGGGCTCACCACACTGGATCAATGTTGGCCCAACGTATATGTAATAAATCTAAATGACGGTGTTTAAAGAATAGTTAAAATATAACGTTGGCCCAACATTAGCCCTACTATGCAATAAGCGCTTTACTACAGTTCCTATACTGACGTTGGAATAATACATTTACCAACGTTGGCCCAACGTTGATATGAAAAAAAAAATGTAGAAAAAATTTAGTATTAGCCCAGCCGGTAGGCCGATCCAGCCGGGGATCGGAGGGGGTATATGATCTAGGGATTTAAGCGTTTTTGAATTTAAATTTACCCTACACATGCAAAAACTGCAGTTGGCAGGAAAAATCAAGTACATGAAATATTTTTTTTAATTTTCTTTCTCTCTTTTTGTTCTTTTTCTTTATTTTGGTTTCATTTTTGTGTTTGTTTTTAGTTTGTGTTTATTTTTTTCTAGTTAATGTTCAATCAACAATTTACAAAATTAATTTTATAGAATCGTAGGAACATCGATTACATAATTGCGCTAAAGTGCTGGTTTTAGGGGGGCATATTCTGAGATAAGAGCAAAATTCACTGTTTAAGAAATAAGGTCAACATCACCATTGCTTCTCACAGCAGGAGACTGGCCAGTTTCCTCGGTTACTGCGAAATCTGATATATCAGGATGGTCAGCACGTGTAACCATTTCGCATTTGAGCAGCTTGGTGCACACGTATATATTTGTGAGAACAAAGAAATTTGGATATACTGCTTCGCTAGACAATATATGTAAGTATATATATTTTATAATCTGCTTTGATTTTGACACCAAACTTTACAGTCCAATGTTTGCTATCTGCCTTTTTATACAGACATCGTACACACATGCACATTATAATGTTTAAGTTCAAACACAAAAGATCAGTGAAAGTTTTGTCTTAAAACTTTTAAGTTATATACACAATTATTGTCTTGGCATTTACTTTTAGGTAAAGAATTTATGCGTGCACAAGTGGAAGAGAAAATGTAAAGTCCACTGTGAGAGGCCTACTTTTTTGCCAATGACCTTGCCTTTTGGATCAATTGGAATCAAGGATTATAGTAACCAGTAAGAATTATTTTTATTTACTTTATTCTGAATGGATGAAAGAATCCCCCATTATTTAATTATTTAGTTGTTAAGTAAATTTAAATGTAGTTGTAATTTTGCCCCATGTAAAAAGCTGGAAATATTGTTTTCACCTCTCATGATCAAAATGAACAGTAGACCACAAACTTAAGAACTTGAAGCCTATAAAATTAAGTATGTCATAACTATATGTCTACTAATTTGTTAATTTTAAGGACTGTCCGAAAAAAAAACAAGCTAATAGCGGCAGCGACAGACAGCGAAATTTGCGCCATTGTTAAAGATTGATTTCACTCTGCCAGTGACCGGGAAGTGGGACGGAAAATAAGGGAAGAGAGGAAGAAGATAGATGAAGAGAAGAAGAAAGAGAATGAAAAAGGAGGAGAAAGTGCTAAAGACACTGAGTAAATTAAAGAAAACAAATGAAAACTTTGTCTAAATTAATAATATGAAGGATTGCTTGACATTTAATTGAAATTATAATAATTTCAAAAATACAAAACCATCAACGATTAAAATCAACAACCAATCCATGGATTTTTTTATTTTCATATCAGAATATTCCTGAAAAAATCATGTTATTCAAGAAAGATGTATTTTGAATGTCAATCCGAAATTCACGTAAAATGGAGATTACTAGAATAATGCGAACCGTGTTGTGGATGACGTGAATATACATGTATTTTACTCTGATTTTCCGCAAATGACATTTTTTTATTCTTTGTAAATCAAATGTTAGTCATGCATTGGGTAATCAATTTAATTTTACCACCGTGTTGGACCAGTGTAGGCCCTACACTTTCCTAGCCGTTTATTGTTGGCCCAATGTTGGCCCTACACTTACTCCGTTAGCTGTTTATTGTTGGCCACTATTCTTAGGTAGCCATTTATTGTTGGCCCAACGTTGGCCCTTCACTTACAATGCTATAAAGTATGTTGGCATAATGTTGGTATTGCGATAATATATTAACTTTACATTGCGGGTGTTGGCCCAACATTGGCCCTTCTATAACATGACATGTACTAAGTTGGTTTAATGTTGGCCCTACGATTACAAAAATACATTAGAACGTTGGCCCAACATCGCCCCAACATGTTGGGCCAACAAAGGGTCACAGTGCACTTACACATTGCGCCAACGTTGGCTGCCAACGTCGGCCCAACAAAGTGTGTTACATTGGGCCAACATTGTCCAAACGTAGTCATGCTATCTGGGGTATAGGTAAAAATTGCAGTTGCACATAGTTTGAAAGATTTTAACACAAACATAAGGAAAACTACACGAATCCGAAATTTTTTACACGACTTAGGGGTATAATATGCACAAACAAAAATCAAAAAATGCACGAGCAGAGGAAACTAAAAATTCAACAAACAATTTTACTGCGCATAGAGCTGCGCATATCATTATTATGCACATAGAATATTCATTTTGTTCTTGGTTTTCTGTACTCTTTATCTCTTCATGTATAATCGAGAATGGAAAATGGCGTTGACGATGACATGTGCTTTACTTTGCTTCTTTATTTCTTTGCTAAAACTCAATCCGATTTCTAGCTAATGCTAATCGAACAAATGAAGTGTTTCCATGTGATCTATATGTGAGAATACTTCAAAGTTTTTCAAAAACATTATGTTTTTCTTAAATTGACCGAGATCCTAACCAATATATGGAGGTATGAGTTGATGCCGGACAAAAATTGTGACAAGAAGGAATCGTATAATGCGGGGTAAAAAAAAACAACATTGCATATGATGCACTCGACTTCGAACTAAAAGTACCTGACGATAAACAGAACGGCTGACTAGGATCTTGATTTTCTAAAAAAAAAAATTGTTAGAATTATTTTGTTTTGTTTTTATTTAAATAAACTCTATAGCTTTTGAAAATTTCCAATTTACAGAAACAACTTTAACATGTTTAATGGAAATTACTTGTATAAATATGAAATTAACACTTGCATAATTAAACGATTAATAACGTTTATTCTTCATGAAATTTGCAGAATTATTGCTGATTATAATCATGAAGCTGTAGAATTAATTGTGGTACTTTTCATGTGTACCTATTTTATTTTCTTTACCACTCGGAATAGGATATAATATATACCTATATTCATTTGGCTGGATATTTATTTTTTTTAACTTAAAAAGTTCGGATTACCTTAGATGTAAGCATGTATTTAGATCTAACGTCAAACATTAAAAAATATATTTTATTCTAATAGCACATGTTTTCATACTTATAAAATATCAGGATTTC